ATATCTACTGGTGTATGTGAATAAATTATCATCACATGCAATAACCCTATGGAGATTAAGAAATTCCTCAAGCAATTGGCAAATCGATTCTCCATCAAAGATCTAGGAACATTGAGCTACTTTTTGGGAGTGGAAGCAATATTCAAATCTTCATGACCCTTTTTATCTTAAAGAAAGTACATTCAAGATCTATTATCAAAGACGAATATGCAGAATGTCAAAGAGGTTGTCATTCCACTCTCTACTATTGAATCACTCAAATTATATGATGGCAACTCTACTATGGATCATATACAATGCCAATAAATACTTGGCTCCTTACAGTACTTATCTTTCACACATCCAGACGTCTTGTTTGTAGTCAATGAATTATTACAATTCATACAATAGCCATCCACTATGTATTAGTCTATAGTAAAATGAGTCCTATAATATCTCAAAGGAATCCTTAATCATGGACTCTTTCTCCGTAAACACTCACTACTTCATCTCCATGCCTTTGTTGATGCTGATTGGGTAGAGAATTTTGATGATAGAACATCTACGTTGTTGGGGTATATTGTCTTCCTTAAAGCTAATATAATCAGTAGGTATTCAAAGAAGCAGAAGACAATCATAAGGTCTACAATTGAAGCTGAATACCTAGCCATCGCCACCGCTGCTACAGAACTCAATTGGTCACGAATCTACTAAAGGAACTTGACATCAACTTACCCTAACTCCTATAATATATTGTGATAATGTTGGAACCACCTACTTATGCGCCAATCGAGTGTTCCACTCACGCATGAAACATATTGTCATCTATTTTCACTTTGTCTAAGATCAAGTTGTCAAACATCAACTACGTGTTTCTCACGTATATACGATTGATCAACTAGTAGACTCTCTCACAAAGCCTCTCGCTCGTAAAATATTTTCATTGTATCGATCCAAGATTAGCATCCATAACAAGAGCTCAATCTTGTGGGGGCATAATAGAAAATAAGATTTTCATAATTGCTTGAGGAAATCTCTCATAATTAACTAATCTTGATAGAGGAAATCCTTCCCTCTAACCTCTAAAAATAAAGTTTATGTTAATGAAACTTTTTCAGTTTTTCTCATCACATCTTAATCTATTACTCTATTCTCCCCTAACTGTTGTTCCCCGCCTTTGCTGGTGTTCTAGCTACTGCCGTTGGTTCTCCGTCTCTCTCACTACCCCTTGCTCGACAACGAGTGCATCCTCTGTTCAAAGGCGAAGTGTTGAGAGGAAGGGAGCATGGCACTAGGAGGCAGAGCAGACGAGGTAGGCGAAGCTAGCGTGGCTCCTAACGTGGGCAGCAATACAAGGAAAGTGGAAGGCATGGGAGCACTCCACCATAAAGAGTGGCATCTTCTAGCTTGCCTTCACAGAGTTGATTAGGCAGCCGATCCACGTTTTCAAATCTACATATTATCCTTTTTTAACTTAAATTATACATGTCATTATATTAATGGTTTATTATGAATCAACATGCAACGTAAGCAGACTCTAATATCTATTAACTCAGACTTGATACGAGGGGCTTATATGCTACGTTTTTTAAAATATATGGGTTATTTTACACATGAGTTAATCATAAGGGCTTAAGAGGTTCATGGCCAAAACCAAAGGAGCTAAAATAGACCTTAACCCTTTTTTTAAAACTTAAATTACATGTGTCATTATATTAATAATTTATTATAAGTCAACATGCCACGTAAGCATACTCTAACATCTGTTAATTCAGACTTGACAAGAGGGACTTACATGCTACGTTTTTAAAATATATGAATCATTTTATATACGAATAAAATATAAGGAGTTAAGAGGTCTATAATCAAAATCACATGAGTTAAAATGAACCTTAATTCTATTTTTTAATATGTTCTATTTATTGTAACCTGCATGTAATTCAAATATAATGACTTTTTTAGATAATTTAAGATTATTTTTATATAAAATTAATATATTTTTAATTTATGATAAATTTAGAATAATTTTATATAAAAATTAATATATTTTTAATATATTCTATGAATGAATATGGCTCGAGTGCAATGATAATGAATATAGCTCGAGTGCAATAAGTTTTTTAAGTAAATTGTAAAGAGGAGGTAAAAGAGGAGAGATAGAGAGCAATGGCTAAAAACATAGAAGCAAGGGAGAAAGAGGATAGAAATTTGACCTCCATCAATCGAAGTCACGCATCAGGATCAGCCACTTCCATCAATCGAAGTCACACGTCGCAGACATCTTTTGACAGAGGTCAGCATATCGGACGTAACTTTTGATTCTAAAGGTTACCGGATTTCAATTACGCACACATTATATACAGAGCAAGAAATCAACTATATCTGATTGGTGACACATCAGAACAATACTCCCATTAGAGACTGACAAGCTACATGCTCTTTCTTACATTCACAGAAGCTTTTGAGCCAACAGGGACCATCACTAGCATAATTCCGCTGGTCATAGTGTACCAGACTCATATCTTAAGTTGGCCTGAGATTGTATCTCATCTTAACCACTTTCATTTGCAGATATATATATATATATATATATATATATATATATATATATATATAT